AGGAACGGCCGTAAAGTAGCCAGACTTCTTGTCTCCTGTACTGGCAGACACTTGCAGATTAAAGTTAGAAATTTCGCTATGCTATAAATATAATTGCTCTCGGAATTGAACAAACTCCTACTTATAATTTATAACTTATCTGTATCCTTTCTAAATTCGTTAGAGTTTCATGGACTGGGGAAAAATAATCGGTACAGTCTCCCTGCTTGTGTAATTAAGCAATGAAAACAATCCAAAATTATCACATATGCTAGTCCCCTGCTACACGGCATGTAAACAGGGCTTGGCTAGTTAGAGGCGGTCCGTGTAGGCCTTACATTGTGCTTTCAGCAATACTCATAAGTTGTAATAGCAGAAACTTTCTAACCGTACATTCACCCGCCACTGTTCAAGAACCTATATCACTGTTTAAAATCATGACGTGAGCACTGTACATCCAATCAGCTATTCCTTTAGTTAGGATGATAGCCAAAACTATAAGGATTTTGGAGAACTAGGGTAATAGTCATAATTCTAAAATTTGAGTGAGTTACACGTGTTTTATTGACGATGATAAACATTTGTAATGTAAATTACGCTATGCAAGCGCGCACTGAGGGACTTTATGACGTCACGAGGCCACAGCTTATTATTGCAATAACACGCGTTACACGTACGCTAGAGAGTTGGTTCTTTCGGCGATACGATTCTTTACCAGTTTGTCACAGCTGATTTAAATCTTAGCCAAATTAGAGACTATCTTTATATCCGATGCGAAATACAAAATAGCGCGCTTTTCCTATAATCCATGGCGAGTGAATTAGTACATAGTATTACCTGGAGACCTCAGGCTATCATGTTCACAAACAATAAACCGAATAGAGATTCGGCGGAATGACAGGCTGAGCGCGGCCCAGTAAGAATTAGTAATTCTGTAAAATTCTACCCTGGCGAAAGATTGTTTCGATCTCGTGATATGACTATATAAGGGCGCTCCTACTATAAAATCGCTCGCCCAAATTTTAAGAAAATTCTTGTGGAAAGGCCCTTTGGGTGTGAAATTGATCTAAATCGGTGTATTTTTGGACGCTGATTCCGAATCACCCCACATGCAACATGACGTAGTAGGGTAAAATATGCTTCCACGGAGAGTTATGGGCAAAAAACCGTTTTGGTCACGTGACAGGCTTACCTGAGGACCCCAGTGCCCAGGCTATTATGTTCATTAACATTAACATATAAATATTTGGCGAAATGATTTGGCGGAATGACAGGCTGAGGCTAATGGCTAAATCACTCTACAGTCGATCTTCGAGATTGTTCTAAAAGGGCCCCCGACAGTTGAAACCAACTCCTCTCGATGTATTTTCGGACGCTGATTCCGAATCACCCCCCATGACATAGGGTTAAAATGCTCCCCTGACGAGATATTGGCGAAAACTGTTTCGATCACGTGATATGACCGTATAAGGAAGTTAGTCTAATATCTAGTTAGGGTTATGGTTTCAGCATATGCTTTTGTTAAGGATTGGGTTAGGGTTGGGGTTGGGATCAAATTAGAGGGTTAAGGTTTCGAATAGTCATTCAGGACCAGCTAGAGAAGGGGTTGAAAAAGTCACGTGACAGTCGAGTGTAGAGTGATTAATCATCATCCCAGGCTGAGCGCGGCCCAGTAAGTGACAGGCTAGTAAACCATGAATTCGATTGTTTAGGGCTCGGGTTAGGGTTAGGGTTGTGGTAAGGGTTATGGTTAGCTTCGGGGTTATGGTTAGGGTTAGGGTTGGGATTAGGGTTTATGTAAAACCGTTTTGTACGGCTGCAAAACCATATAAACCAAAGTCACGTGAAATTTTTGGGTGAGCGAATTAGTAAGAGCAATATAAGGGAGCTTTATAGTTTACTGGTATGGGCCGCGCTCAGCCTGTCCACTGTCATTCCGCCAAATCTCTATTTATGTTAATGAACATGAGAGCCTGAGGTCTTGACGGATGTTACTCGTCTAAATTTCTTCGAAGTAGCGCGCGCCGCTTTCTTCTCGAATTGTTAGCGCGCGCCGGGCCAAATCATTAACAATAGTCAACCTGAGGTCCCCAGGTAACTTAATAGTATAATTTCTTGTTCATTGTTAATTTCTCGTTCCTTGACGAATGTTACTCGTTTAAATTTCTTCGAAGTATTTATAAAAAAGCTTAGCGCACGCCGTTTTCGTTTCGAAATATTAGCCCGTGCCATGGCAAGTGCTACGTTACTGGGCGGCGCTCAGCCTGTCTGCTGTCATTTTAACGGGTGATACTCGTAAAATATCTGTTCCATATATTGGACCGTCGACGAGTCCAACTCGGCGCGCGTCCTGGTAGGTTGTAAACCTACAACTGTCATTCCGCCAAATCTTTATTGATCTATGTTCGTAAACTCAAAACTAGTAGTAGAGGCTCTTTGGGGCAAAAAGACGTGTTTTCTGCTATGAGTTTAGAGACCTTACTATTAATTGGACACAATAGTATGATGTGTAAGGATCGAGAATATGTTAAGAAATATAAATATAGCCTTATAAGTCACGTGCTATTCCAATGCGCGTTTTAAACTTTGACAGTCTATAACTCTTAGGCCTATAAAGTAATTATATTCATGTTATGTCAGCAATACGATCACATTGTTTTCTATTTGGTGTGAAAATATGAGCTAGAACGGACATAATCTCGCTGAGTTATTATGAGTTGTTTATATATGGCTGTTTGAAATTTATGATGAACGCGCGGGTGCCCATTGATAACAACTAAATGCTTTTGCGCGTAGTGCGCGTCGAAAATTAGGCAAAAACGCTTGCGGAGTGACAATATTCAAACTTCTATAAAGTATATGAAGTGGGTACTTCTCGGAAAGGAAAATTTTAGTCAAACACGATGTGACTATTGTTGGGTTGATTTAATACAACTGCAAAAAATCGTTCAAACTTTAAGCAAAAAAGGGCACATTTTTACCACTTTTTGGATTTTTACCTGCGTAAAAACAGAGCGATTTGTTTTATTTTTATATCATCTTGTGCGGCTATGTTTTAGCTATTGCCATGCAAATTTTGCCGACATGCCAACAAAATTAACTTGCTCAAAATATCAAAAACCATGGTTTTTTGGCCTATTTTTGGCCCAAAAATCGGTTTTTTGCGATTTTACCCGCGTAAACTCAGTCCAATCATCTCGAAACCACTTTTAATTGATTCTACGGTCAAAAATACGTCTAGTAAGGTATATCTGGGGTCCCTAGCGTATCGAGCAGACAATGCCCGTAAGAGCCTCTACTATAGGGGGTGCACGATAAAAATAAACTTGCTCGGATTTTCAAAATTTTTGTATCATTGTTTTCTAGAGTCAGAGACCAGAGACTGTGAGAATTTTTACAGTACCAAATTTGTTATAGCTTTTTTTGAAAAGATCAGTGACTTTCGCCTAGGTGCCATATTTGATGGTGCGCTGCTTTTGGAGTAAAATTAGCTGTAAAAGTTGCGTAATTTGACGAAATTCGTTGATTTTTGTCGTATTATTCTGTCATATCTTCAAGTCCTTGAATGAGATCATTCTGAAAATTGGCGAAGACCTTCCAATAGGGCTTTTACAACTGTCCAAAAAATTTGGTGGATATCGGAGTTGATATAATAATGAAATTGGGCAAATTACGCTGCTTTTATGTTTTAGCTGCAACATAATGTTTGATGGTTGGATATATGCTTTATATTAAATTTTTCGGACACTTTCCTCGTAAGTCTTGCTCTATCCAGAGCCCTTGCGCTTGCAAAAGCGCCCGCCTTCTTGACTTGTGAAACAAGCGCGCCCGAAAGCACATGGTTAGGTGAATCGTAAGTCTATGAGTAAGCTTCCCAATTTTTGTTAAAATTGGATTAAGGAAAGGTTACTCAATACGCATTTGTGCTGGCAGATATTTGTAGCGCGATGCGTAACTGTGCCGCGCACTTAATAAGGCTTCTCACAGGCTAGATCGGCGAGATGCTCTACTGTGCCGCGCCGAGCTGTTATGAATTGACAGCGTCAATTAAGCAGATATTAGCCGAAATTAGCACTAAAAACCATCCTACCGTCGGCACGCGCGGCTCACTGTCGATGGCATACTACCTTGTTATTGTGGCCTGGGGTCCCCTGGTATGTGGTAACGAACGCACTGCCTATTTATTTGCTACACGTTGTATTATATACATCTCTCGTTTGACCATTGTTAATGATCTGGCCCGGCGCGCGCTACTTCGTAGCACTTGCCGTCGAGAAGAAAGATTGACGATGTCATTAATTTAAAGTGCTTCGAGATCGTTGCTCTGAGCGCGAAGCTATAATTACTGTCACCAAGATGTAATTAGATCGAACGCAGAAATTAGATCGAACGCGCGGCGCGGCTTTCAATGTATCTCGCGCCAGCGTTCGATCTAATTCCTAGATCAAACCGGTTCGATCTAATTTCTGCGTTCGATCCGATTACATCTTGGTGACAGTTATAGTTCGCGCGGCGTGTCGAAGTCCTCCGAGGAAACTTTTGGAGACTAGCTGTGGCAAACTTCGTAACAGTAGCAACACTTGGGCGCCACTATATCGAGCCATGTCGATCTATCCCACTTCAAATAACACGTTACTTTTATTGCCCCTAATATGACCCTAGGCCTAACCTACTAAGTACTAACCCTAACCGTAACCAATAAATACTATATACTGAGATGGGCCCATTTTAGCGTTTGCCGCAACACTTGATTACTACAACATACAATTTGCAATTGTGATCACTGATATGTGTGCTTCGGTAACAAAAGAAAGAATTCTTGAAATTATTTTACTTATGTTATATAGATATTATACAATGACAGAATTTGTTTAACAATCTTCAATGTTGGATAAGCTTCATTAATAACTTTGACGAATGATATACAGTCAGTGTACTGTAAACATCTCAAAGTACTATATATTATAATATACATTATACTCTATTAACTTTAATTTTATCACACTTTATGACACTCTTATCAAATTATTTTACACTTCATCGTTCACCTGCTTGATTCACGTTGTATTTCCCCGACGTGTATCAATCACCTAACTACAATACTACATGTGTTCTATCTAGTGCTTGACGCGCTCAGAAGCTTCAATTCCTATTCACTATTGTTTCCTATAAGGTGTCCGTTTAGATCTTTTAAAAGCACATTTGTATACATGAATACAATCTGGAACAAACTTCTGTACTATTTCTAAATTTTGTAAATAATAGAAAAGTAAATATGAAATTTCATCAATATGATTGATTGAACAGTATTAAATTATCGTTTGCAAAGGAAATATTTGGCTTGTAGTACGATCATTAAAGTTCCACTAAATAGCTTTTAATGAGTTATGAGTTCAAAGTCTTTGTGTTAAGATTGAAACATAATCCATGTAATATTGAACAATTTTATATCCAAAAATGTCGAAGGATAAATTAGATATACAATTGCTCACCTTAAATATAACAAATCACACAGTCACAAATAAAAACGTAAAAACAGTAAAATAACTTATAAAACTAACACAGCCCTTTTCATTTCTAAAACATGTGCTAAATTCACCATAAATTTCTGGAAGCATTTGCCAAAAATTTTAATCGTGTTTGAAATGCCCAGCTGATGTGAATTAGCTAATATTATTATAACTTGACGAGCAATATTTGTATCGTCAGACAATGTGGTTAACAGTTGCCACTGTAATAATACAGTGAGCCTAAGAACACTCAAAATATAAATTATGGGGAAAAAAAAGGAAAATCGGCAGTGTCAAGAAATCCGAAACAGCTGCGGAATGCAAGCGGAGGTTTCTGAGATGAAATAAATCAGCATTATCTGGCTCACATCATGTGCTATTTGATACCAGTTCTCCAGTTGACTGTGGAATTCCACCGCAGTACGTTTCGATAGAACTTTACAGTGGAATTCCGCCACTCTGTCAGGCTTCTTGTCTACTACCACAAAATTCTAAATTGGTTTAATAGTTTTGAATCTACTAAGCACACGAGTTTAAATAAAACATATCATAACGGAAAATTAACATAACCAAATTGTTTTCTCTTCCCAAATATGATCAAAGCATAAGCTTTAGTTTTAAGTCGACCAAAAACTTTACAACATCTCAAAAATCTCATCAATATCGGATTTATATTTGCAATCAAGTTGCAAATTATCTACAGCTAACATTAAATAAGCAAAAAGGAGGTAAAATAAATATGTTAACTAACTAAACTTATATCGCACGACCCAAATGCAGCAAGATAAGTGATCTTAGCTTAACGTTAATATCGTTAACATTTGGTCTCACATGTTTCACTTACGATCCGGTGGAAGTTTTACCCTTTTCCATGGGGAGTTCTGAGTCCAAGTCAGGGTATAGGAAATCAGGGGAGGTGCTATCTGGTTGGACTGGAGGTGATTTACTGGCTTCTAACCAGTACCACACAGGGAAGTCCTCAGACTGTACCCGTCGCATCTCAACACGCACTCTGGACTCATGTTGGGCAATAAACTGGACAGCCCTTTCCCAGATGTGCTTCATTGCAGTCCGTTCGGAGGGCAGGAGGAGCCGGTCTCGGGCGTGGGGGATAGCCACGTACGGCACGTAGTTGACTGGGTCTGTTTGGTATTTGCTGTAATTCCTTTGCAGCTCCTCTATTATCTGATCTATCAACTCGAACATTTCTCCCATCGCCTGCTTTTCTTTAGCCCTCTTCCACTGGTAGACTTTGTGAGCAATTTGGGCCATGACTAAGATTGCAGCGGATGTTAGAATGTAGAATGCGAAGTTGCTCAAAACTTGAGACGTACGACAAAACCATGAAATATGCGGGGTTTTCGTGCTGAAGAAAAAGGCTGCTGCTTTGGGGTTAAATGAGGATAATTCTGCTTCACCTTCAAACTCTAAGTAAGTATCCTCCTTCTTGAGATAAATGCTGTAATTGAAATCATCTCGCAGGTAGAAGAGTAGTTGCCGTTCCATTCCACCAGCCGGTGACGGAATATGGAGATCACCTTCTTTATCCCCACACATTACTTCCCCTGAAAACTTGTCCACTTCAAACTTTTGTTTGGAAAACTTTTGGAAGAGCCTGTCACACTCTGCCACGGTCATATCAAAGGTTAGGTTCAAACAGGGAGGTGCTATAGAGGAATCCTCATCAGGCTCGACCAGATAATACGCAGTAGCAAGAGTACCGGCTACCACTACCACAACCGCTAGAACGCTCCACCAACCTGATAGATGTTTACTCTCGGCTGGCAATTTCTTCTTTCTGTCTGGCTTCTTTTCATCCTCGTTGTCACTAAAGAGACTTAGATCCCTGCCTTCTCTGTCACGAGTAGTTCTCCTTCTAGTGGGTCGGGGTGAGTTGGAGAAGACCAGGCTTTGGGGTGGTTCAGGGGTCTCTAACTCGGGGGTCAGACTCAACTCCGGGAGCTCTGTGTCTGAATAGTCTGATATGTTCAGAGACGCTGGGATATTTGGAATGAACTTCTCCGACCTCCTAGGCTCCATTTTCGGTTTCTCTGTCGTCCTAAGTGTATCCAAAGTTTGCCTCCGTTTCTTCTTGTCCGCAGTAGCCCGGGCAGAACCAGCCCCAGCAGTCAGTAGGGACTGGAGCTGGAGTTCATATACTCGTCTGGTGGTGCCGGTGATGGGACCAGGGGTTTTACCATGTTCAAAGAGCAGGCTTCGGAGATCTTTATCAGATAAGTCTGATATGTTTATCATATCCTGAGATAATCTGGTCAGTTAATCTCACGAGTAATAGTCCCTCCCTCCCTTCCTTCCTCAATTAGGATTCCCAATTACTCTGTTCAACACGCCACACCCATTACAAGAGCCACTTAAAGTTTCATAAGAGTCTCCTCTCGTGCTCACAAACTTAGTTATATCTGGAAATTATACAACATAATATAAGGATTCATTATATTCATTTTGTGCTATGGTTAACTCACACGGTCTTCAACACAGGCATGGTCTGCGAGAACATACTGTCACTTAATATTGCAGAGTGTGCTTGTTCTCACTTAACATTATGTACACTCTCACACTCAGGATTTAAAAAATGAAGCAATAAAGCAACAAGCAAAATAGCAACATGACATGTCATGAACAATAACATAAATATTTAAAATAACATAAAAACAGGTTAAATACAAGTTACAATTTACAATCACCAACTTTAATTGAAACCGGGCAATTGTCGCGATGGTTCGCTAATAAACAATTACAGAGTGTTAATTGAATTCAAGCTTCTACAAGGGCACAGATGTGCGTGTACCAAGGGAGCTGCTGGCCACAATTACGTCTAATAATGACGAATTAGCAGAAAACTTGGATCATCAGCAAATTAAAACTAAAAGTTTCGACAAACCAATATGACATGAGCCCATATTCGGAAAATGACTTCTAGTGCTATCAACTACCTACGAAACACTAAGTTTTATTCAATTAAGTACGGTTCTCTGGTACGAACCACAGCCGCACGTTACCATGGTTACGTGATACGAACATGTTCATTTTAAAATGTAGGCTCAGGTAACAGTGGAATATTTTGAAGCATCATTACAAAATCGCATTAGAACACTAGATAATTCTAGATAGAAAAAAATCTTCTGATGTTCTCATTTACAAAGATAGTGAGAATATTGACATGTAAGATAACTGTAAGATAACTGACATTACGTTAGTCCCGAGAATAGTAACACTCGTAATTTCCAAAGTATTACAAAATGTCAGACGCAGATATCAAAGTTGGCTGTGGCTGGTCGTTACGGTCGTTACGGTTAGTTGTTCCAGCCTCCTGCTGAAGTTATGCTTCAAGTATCACTGGTGATCTGGGCTGTAAGATATTCCTTCTTTCTTAGTTTACACCAGTAGCAAATTCCTTTCGACAAACCAATCAGTAGTATCCAAGGATCTTTAAAGGTGCTGTCAAAGTTAGCGAGATATTTTATCAGCGCACATTATCTTCAGCTACCATCAAAATTAGAGTAAGATTTGACAGCTGACTCCTCGACAGAAGTCAGGCGTTTCTTCCAATCCTCAAACTTCACCTGAAATATTGGGTTGGCTAAATGCCAAATATATAAAATGGGAGTTTAAAAAGATTATGATTACGGCGTGATGAGATGGTCGTTATTTTTATTGGATTTTATTACTAATTATTATTAATTAGTAAGACAACAAAAAAAAAGAAAAAAAAAACATTGGTAAAAAAGTCGTAAAAAAAAGAAAAAGAAAAGTTGAATTAAATAGACAGTTTATGCAAAACATGTTTTAAAATAAAGTTCCCATTACTCAAGTGTACGTTAACATGGTTAGGGACTTGCTTTCGATACTATGTCACATTCAATATCCCTTAAAACCAACGAGGTAAAACGTGAAAATTGTTACGTTTGTTCAAAGCACGTTTATCTACATGATTCGGTAGTTGTCTGCTCACTTGACGGCAGAATTTATCATAGCAGATGTTTTAAGATTGACAATTACTCCGCATCGGAGATTCGTAGATATGACGATTGGTATTGTCCTCTCTGTTGCAGAGAGATGTTTCCATTTTTTGATGATACCACTGATTCAAATGTTGATAATTCAAACCAAATGTTTTGTGTTCAATGTAGTAGAATAATCTCACAAAGGCGTGATAAAATTACTCACTGTACTATCTGTTTGAATGCAGCCCATGCTAGCTGTATCTCTTCTATTTGTAACAAATGCGAGAATCATTCTCCTAACAATACTGATTGTACCGATAGCAGCTTATTCTTTAACCCTTATAACCAGGATTTTGATCAAGACAAGTTTGATTTCGATCAGGATGAAGTTGAAGAGTTTTGTTAAACTTTTTCAGTTGCTTCGGCTATTTTGAACGACTGTGCTTGTATTACACCAAAACCTGACACTGTAAAATCGTTATAAAATGCACGTTCCTTTACTAGTAAACACACTAATTTGTATTATCACAACATCGATGGTTTTCAAACTAATTTTACCGAATTTCTTAATCAACAACTGATATTTAAAGGTATTGATTTTCAGTTTTATTGCTTTGTTGAAACTAATTTACATGAAGGTGTGCCTCATGATTATAATATCCCCGGTTTTTCTGCTGAACATTTATTTGCTATCGAAGGTAAAAGGAAAGGCTCAGGTATCTCGATTTTCTTTCGTGACAATTGTTCCTTTAAACGTAGCCGTGACCTAGATATCCGTAACAGTTATTTTGAATGTTTGGGTGGGTCTTTTGTAACTGATGTTGGCAAATGTTTTTTAATCGTTTTGTATCGATTCAATAAATCTGCTAATGATGAATTTTTCACCAAGCTAAACAATATCATTGAAAAGTACGCGCATGGTCCGTGCATTGTACTCGGGGACTTTAATTTTAACTGTTTTAATCATGAAACTGATTCGTCAGTGTCGCGTTATTGTGAACTCTTTTTTAATTTCGGTATGTCTCCGCTAGTTAGCAGGAAGACTCACACTTTTCGTGGAGAAACTACTTTAATTGATCAGATCTGGTCGAATTATTTTACTGAGGACACGAGTACATATGTTATAGATAATTCTATTTCCAATCACAGACCTTTAGTACTCTCAGTTCCACTCAATCTTAATTCGTACGCTGACAATAATTCTGGGGGTGATAATGGCACTAAACCCTTTTTACTTCACAATGTTTCCCCTGAAAATTATGAAAAGTTTGGTGTTGAGTTTAATTCTTATTTTGCTAACTTTACTAATTTGATTGCCAACAACCCAGATTCAGTAAACTCAGCTGTATCAGCGCAATCTTGCTTTACAGATTTCTTCACTACATTCAAACAATTGTATTTTGAACATATTGTGGAAGAAATTGACTTGAATAGTAGTAAGCGTAATCACTACTTCAAACCTTGGATTACAATAGCTATTGCCAAGTCCTGTATGACCAAAAATACGCTGTATAATGCATGGGTTAATTCGAGAGGTTCTCCGAATGAAACCATAGCCATGACTGTTTATAAGTCATATCGCGCAAAACTACGTGATATTATAAGATTTCGAAAAAGTTGTTATTTTCGTGATAAATTCACCCGTGCTTCTGGCAATATCAAAAAATGCTGGCAAATTATCAACGAGATAAGATGTAAAACAAACAAACTAACATTTCCAGATTACATCTCTGAGAACGGTCAACTTATACGTGAACGTCGTGTTATCTGTACCCACTTTAACAAGTATTTCACTTCTATCGCTGATAAACTTAACGAGAAGAAGTATGATGATAATTCTAACCCAGTCCTGGTCCCTGATTTTCGTGACTTTCTACATTCTCCTGTTACAAACACTATCTTTCTTAAACCCATAGTATTTTCTGAGATTAGTGAGATTATTCGTAAACTTAACAGCAACAAGTCATCAGATTTCTCTCCTAGAATTCTTAAGTTATTTAACTATCAGTTTTCCACCATTCTTACTCATCTTTTTAACAACTGTATGAACAACTCATTATTTCCTTCGGAACTTAAAATTGCCAAAGTTTTACCGCTTTTTAAAAGTGGTGACCGTAACTCTGTTTCAAACTATCGACCAATTTCTATACTTCCAGTTTTTTCCAAAATCTTTGAAAAGCTGATACAGTCAAGGTTAATTTCGTTTTTTACAAAAGAAAATGTTCTCCACGAGGGTCAGTTTGGATTCAGAAGTGGGCGTTCGACCATACAGGCACTTAACACGTCTATCTGCAACATTTTAAAAAGTCTGGATCAGAAAAATCACACTTTAGCTATCTTTATAGATTACTCTAAAGCATTTGATACTATCAAACATTCTATCTTACTTCAAAAGCTGTATCATTACGGAATTAGAGGGAAGGCTAATGAACTTCTTGCAAGCTATCTTACAGGAAGATCTCAATATGTTCATTTTGATCAGGACACTTTTTCCGATTGTCTCCCTATAACTTGTGGCGTTCCCCAAGGCTCTGTCCTGGGTCCACTACTTTTTATTTTGTATATAAATGACGTAACATCTTGTCAATGTACTTGTGACAATACTGCAGTCTGTACGAGCAATTGTGCAGATAGAAACTTGTTCGTCTTATTTGCAGACGACTGCAATACGTTTATTACAAGTGAAACTCTGGGTGGTGCTTTTGAAAAAGCGAACGCACTTCTTTGCAATCTTAAATCTTATATTGATGCCAACTACCTTCATATTAACCTTACTAAATCTAAATTCATGCTCTTCAGAACACCTCGCTCGAAGCCTAATTTTGAGGCTGATAATTATACTTTGACCTATGATGGCTACAATTTACAGCGAGTTAAATGTATCAAGTTTCTAGGGGTGTTTATTGAGGAGTCGCTAAATTGGTCAGATCATATAAACTATATCGGGAAGAAGGTTTCCAAAGTTAATGGTGTGCTTTATCAACTTCGTAAAACCGCCCCTAAAATGTTAAGAATTGCTATTTTTAATGCACTCGTACAGTCGCATCTCTCCTATGGGATCACGGTTTGGGGAAGCAGCACAGCAACTAATAAGTTGAATAAACTTTTTATCAATCAAAAAAAGGCATTAAGAAATGTGTTCGGGATTCGCAGAGTTAACAAACATCAGCAAGGAAATACGAAGCGTGTTTTCAGTGAAAACAAAGTGCTTACCGTGTATGGACTTTATCATAAATTTATTCTCACTGAGGGATTTCAGGTAGTGCATGCTGGTGGTTACCCAACGTTACTAAGAAAACACTTTCAAACTTCAGCTGTTAACGATAAACGGCTTATTTGTCCTAGAGTGTATTATAAAGATAATATGCACAACATGTTATACGCTGTTCCCAGAATCTGGAATGCTGTTAACAACTCAAGTTATCTCACTAGAAATATTACCACAATTTCATCCTTCAAGAACAATATTAAGCAGTTCATTCTCATGTACCAATCTAATGGTTCAAATAACACATGGGAACCATCCAATCTTGATGCGCAAACATTTTTTGTCACTGCATCTAAGAACCCCGAGTCATACTCAGTTACACGTTAACACCATGCATGTTGTTACCATATTGCATGTTTTTGATATTTTGGCATGTGACTGCATGTACATTTACATGTTCAAATTGGACATTTTTTGGATTCTTGTTCAAGCTGGGTAATTCCGACTGCATGTGCATGTTCATGTTTCAATTTGTGACAATTCTTATTCAGTGTGTGTGATCATTTGAGCTGCGTTTTTAGCTGTTTTACCTTGCTTAATGTTCTATTTTGAATCTTAAATTACCCCCTGAGGGGCATAGCTCCAACACTTCCCCCTCATTAAACGCCCCGTTTCTTTACTATGTGGGGGTTTGATAACCCCCCCCCCCCCCCCCCCCCCCCATTTTCCGTAACCTTATTTCAGCAGCTTTTCTCACTTGGTGTCGCACAGTACATGTATTGTGCGACACCGGGTGAGAAGAGTCAAACGGGGTTCGAGATGCTCGGGTTTAAGATCACCAGATTACCTGATCTTACTGGAAGTCACAACTTTGACATTACACCTAAAGCATGGACGCATACGGGAAATCTCTGCATCCTGATGCTGACTATTCCCTCATCTTTCTCACTGATAGCAAATTTATCCCTACTCTGCTATTATTACTAAGTTACTGCCTACTACTCTAGTTACCCTGTCTTGACTACCTTTTGATTGGGTAGCTAGTTGAACTTTATTATTTTATTATGGACACATTGGATCTCTGTTAATAACAATTTTTGACATCTGTTGTAATACAGTAATGTATGTGATTTTCGCGTTTTTCCTCATTTATTCTGATCATGGATATTGATTGATACTAAGATTTCCACATTTATGAGAGTTTTTGAATTTTGGTCGCGTAATTTTGATTTTATTTGATTTTTGAACAAAATCTTTATTTAATTAGATTTCACTTTTTTTTGACCAGTGGCTTACAAGCTTCTGGGTCCTGTTTTGAATTTTTTTTGAGTGGATTGTTAGGGCCCTGGCATTTGCCGACAAAGCGGTTTTTATTTTTATGTTTTATAATCCTGTTGATTTGTATATACCGTTTTGAAAATTTTTCAAATCTAATCTAATCTATTAATTCTAGACTTTGAGCTGCGACGAAACTGCCTCGGAGACGTTAAAGAATACGGGTATATGGCCCCCAGAATATAGGTCGTTTTTTGAGCACTTAGAAACAGGTGTTAAAACTACTTCTAAGCATGTTTAGGGCTGTAAATATGTACATAATAACCCTTTAAATGTTTCTTGGGTAGTTGAAAATAATTATTAGGTTTTTAAGTGTACTTTTTTTTCACCTGTAAAAATACCATTTTTTAACAGGGCCCCCAGAATATAGGTCCAAACATCTGTTCCTAAGTTGTTCTAAAATTGTCACAGACAGTTATATGCAGTCAGAATATGTTGCTGAGACTGTATTGATGATGCCAATGGCTCCAGATACTAAATTGAAATGGTTTAGAGTATACTTAATAGCAAAAAATCAAAAACTACGGCCCCCAGAATATAGGTATGCAAAAATCGTCCTCAAATACTCCACCTTCATACATTTTGATGATGCCATCTCTTCAGCATATGTTCTTTAACTGTTTCTCATCACTACCCCACATTCCTTAATGCTCAGGGTGACAGAGAAAATGCAGAATCTTGGTCGCTATTTTTTTTTTAAAACCTATATTCTGGGGGCCATATACCCGTAATGAGTAAAATCTTTAATTTTACTAGTTAAAAAGCTTTCATGCACTCATTTACTAGGGATCTTAACTAAATACTTAAATAAGATTGAAGGAGTGTCCCTAGATATGATTGAGGGGGGCTGTTTTTATCTGTATCAATACAATGTGCACCTCAATGACTGTAAATCAGACATTTTTGGCCGCCAAATTTTTTTAAAGGCCTAACTCAAAATTCTGTCCCAAAACTTAAGGTCATGAGACAATTCTACGTTGATTCTGAAAATTTCATGTGAAAATATTGAAACCCTATTGAGTTCTATTGTTTTGAGCGAAGTCAGTTTGAGATATGGGCGATTTTGTTCATTTTTTGCGATTATTTGAACACAGAATCCACAGTTAGGTAGATATTGAGCTGATAATCATAGAGAATGTGTAATATATGCTTACCTTCCATATAAAGTTGGTTTCATTCAAAAATATTGATATTTGACCAATTTATGGACCAAAATCGATCAAATTTGGTGCGTATGCCCAAATATGGGCATATGGTTTTTGTTTTTATCCCATAACTCGGCCAATTTTTATCCAATTTTGATAAAACTTGATATGTGGGTTCAGGAGACTAGTAGCTACAAGTAGAGCATCCCAAAGCATGGTTTTGGGCATGTTCAGGGTTTTTGACCAACCTATATTCTGGGGGTCGTATAGACCTATATTCTGGGGGCCCGTAAAATTGTGGTGGCCATAACTTTTTTCCAAATTGTCAGTTTGCAGATGTCTCGATGAAAAGATAGCTTAAAATAATACTTATACTCATACCAGTAGTCTTAATGGCATGTGTTGGACAGATTTTTGTCATGACAATTTTTCGCCATATTTACCCCTCTAGAAAATGACAACATCGTTTAAATCTTTCGCTGTCATGACCAAATATACCAAAATACCTCATGTAGGTCCAAAATTTTTATCCAGAAACATTAGTTACATGTTTTACTCCAACATAGCAGTAACAGATCCCATTAGTATCGCTTATCTTGGTTAGAACTGTATCCACTAACATGACCTATATTATGGGGGCCACCTATATTCTGGGGGCCATATACCCGTACAATTAAAACGTCAACCACCACAAAAACCAACCCAGTCGAGGGTTAATCATTCAATTCTAACCTGAGATTTAGCTATCAACTGTTTCTTCCGCGTAATCTTAGTTTTGAGTTGCTCTATTTCAGCTCGCAGGGTGTTTTCTTTGCTTCCACACAGAATTTCCTGCTGTGCCACCTCACGACGTAACAACTGCAACTGTTCTGTAAACCTAAACATTTTGTAGTAATTAATTTGAGGTAATTGAGTTATCAATATAATAATTATATGCGGTAGGTATAGACAATATCTCAGTTGTTATTATTTATTAGTGATTAAAAATTAACAGATAAAAGATTTAACTCACATATCAGCTTTGTTGTGGATATCCATGATGACCTCATATTTGTCATCAGAAATCATACTGTCATTGTTGACAACCGTTTCCAGGCATTCTACGAATATTCCCTCTAACTTAACTAGACGCTCAGATGATGTCATCACTATAATATGTTGGAGATGGTGATTAGTTGTTTTATAATTCAACTTGTTAAAGAGATAATTTAAGATTAAAACAGTTGACCGAAAGTAATGATAGTGCGTAATTTCCTATCAAACTTGTTTTGACATTTATTTCCAACAGTGCGTGAGCCCCGGCATTAAGAAAACAGTAAAATGTCGCATATAAATCAGTTAAAGAAAAATTAAAACCAGAAGAATCACGATCACAATATCATTCTTGATTCAATAACACCCGCGCGACCTAACAGTGTTAGTCACACCGCTTAAAGTAATAAATTACAAGTTCTCGTAAAATGGCCCCTGACAGAATAACTGAGAGACTGAAGTCCCAGACCCCAGTCAGGGGCCAGAGTGTCCGTGATGAGCAGGTATTTATTCCTCACTCCTTCCTCTCTAGCGGACAACTTTATTAGTAGGCATTCTGAGAGTAGTTCTGTGAGTAGTTCTGCTTCCTGGGGAAGAGAGATGGGGTTATCTTCACTGTGTTTTAACTTATTCTTCTATGTAACTAAATTTATCACTTTATTGAGTTTATCTCCAATATAAATAGTCAAGTTATCAAAGTCTGTACTGCGTTTTAATGTATAGGAAGAAGTTAAAAAACACGTCTGGGTTCAACTAGTGCAAGTGGTGAGTATTGCGATGAGAAGTTCATCGAACGAACCTGTTGTAGTTGTTGTAACCGGAATTGTTGTAGTTCCCACCAGTTCTTCTGTTGTACCCAGCATTGTTGGCAGAATCGTAGTTCCTCTTCTGGTAACCTCCCCGGTTCCCCTGGTAGTTGTTGTTCCGGTTCCCCGAGTATGAGTTGTTTCCCGAGTAGTTGTTTCCCGAGTAGTTGTTTCCTCCTGCTGGGAAGACAGATTACAATTACAAATCACAATTTTACAAATTACGAATGAAAATTATCAATTATTTTGTTATATAACATAGAGTTTATAGTTGTTATCTAAACTTACTTCTGTTGTACGAGTTGCCCTGTCCTCCAGCTGAAAACATATTTAATTACGATTGATAAGAAATACAGCCGTCAGTCATTTCCCGTTACCCACTTCAAACTTCAACTCAATATTTTACAGTACCAGAATCTTATTCAGTATTGTTTGAGACCAAAATTTAAAGTGGACCGAGGCTATTTAGAGATAAAATTGCCAGTAACTTATTTTTTAAAAGATGCATTCTAATTAACTTTCATCAGATTTAAGCTGCTAAACAATGATATTGAAAATATGCAAAATTAAAAGCGCCCAAAAAGAAGGCAGAGCATCCTACATTTGTTGATGTTGGACCAGGTGCTGTTCCAAGGCAGTCCAGAAGGGGCAGATCCTCCCTTTGAAGTGAAGGGTGTTCCTTGTTGTAGCATCTTCTCCGTGTTGTCCATCACGTATGTCAGCTGCGGATTAACGGGCGTGAACAATGGTTAAAAACTAAGCTTGTTAAAAAAGTAAACCTATTTAACATCAGATTGTTTGGAAAGTTCGGTGACAGTCAGGGTATAATAACATTTATAAAGCATTTTAACAGTCTCAGTTGTAAGTTAATAAATGATAGTAACGTTAAATAATAATAAATGTATAACCTTGTCTGCAGTCTGCTTGGTGAGACTCTGCAGTTTGCTGCTTTCAGCCCTGTGTAACATCAGCAATCAGTGGCTTGTCCCAGCTTGCTTTTAGCTCGTCGTTCAGTATCATCTTACTTATCAGGGCGTGGATTTGAGCGTTGGTAAGACTAAACATTTGAGATAGAACCAACGGGCTGAGGGGGTAAGTCGTGAGATTAGAGCTCAAAAGAGTTTGGCATCCTGCTAGAATATTTGTGAGAAAGAAACTTAGCTTAAGAACAACATGACAAAGTATAGAATATAACAAAATCAACTGATTAGCTTCCAAACCTGATGGAGTCGTAACAGGCACTGTAAGTAAACATGTACGTTCTCAAACTCTCCTCCTTGATCTTCTGTCTCAACATCGCCTTCACCTGGAAACGAAAATATCATAACGCCCTGAACAGTATAACAAAATATCAGCTATTAGAAAATTCTTACATTGGAACATTCAACATTCAACTCACTACAAATGTATAAAATTAAAAGTTAATCTAAATAATAGTAAACCTCCTCAGCATGAGGCATCAGATTCCAGATCTTGTGAGCCAGCAGGGTGTCAGCACAAGTCTTCCAGTCCGCTTTCATCATTGCTTTAGCAGCAGCAACCAGATGCCTCTCATCGAATCAGGAGGTCCAATCTAAGGAAGCAATTTATCTTAGGCAAATAAATAAAACAGTAATACTAGAGAATAAGCAGAATGCAAAATATATATTCGAACTTTGTTTCAAGGATATGAAATGTATCTGTGTGCCTAATGAAGAAGATGTTTACCAGTGGGCTCTTCTCAGCATTCCTAAGCTGGTAATGGAATGTCCTGCTGAGCTTCTTCCTCTGATCGAACTGATGAGCAGCCATGTGAGGGACCTCCAGCAACATGGCACAGGTCAGGTAACTGTACTCTAGCAGCTCCAGGTTGATGTGCATGTGGAAGGGGATCTGCCGCTGCTTCTCTATCTTCTCCTGCTCCAGGTTCCTCTCACTCATCCTCTGAAAGAAAGACTTCGCTATGATGGCGAGACGTTTCCATGTCAACAGGTTACAGAATAGCGCTTTAACAAACTTATTTTCAGACTTAATTTAACAGACTTATTTTCAGACTTAATTTAACAGACTTATTTTCAGACTTAATTTAACAGACTTATTTTCAGACTTAATTTAACAGACTCATTTTCAGGCTTAATTTAACAGACTTATTTTCAGACTTAATTTTCAGACTTATTTTCAGACTTAATTTTCAGACTTATTTTCACTCTGCTGTCTACTCTTTGTCGGTAATATTATGGGGGGGGGGGGGGGGGGGGGGGTTAAAATTTAAAAATATGGACTGTTATAAATATGGTTCTTTGGCCCGAAAAGGACCAAATTAGACCCCCCATAATATTACCGACTAAGGTAATCTACACAAAGTGAGGATAAACCAAATGAGAGTTACCTGAGTAGAGAGACCCTGTGCCAGGAGTTCCTTGCTCTTCTGAGAGGACTGGATCTCGTTGAGGGTTGTGTGAGCATGTTGTATCAACCCCTTCCTGAAGGCACACAGACCCAACTGTACCATGGTTCTGTTGTGCAGGATCTGAGATACGTTTTGTGTGAGGGATTATATGGAATAAGCGAAATATTCTGTTAATAGATAGTTCATGTTTATTTCCAATTAAAATAAACTGTTTTTAGATGCACATGCTAGGTTAAGATGGATAGCAATTAACTGCCGATCGTTTATAACGGCAAATAACAGCCTCTGAAATCAGAGTGAAGCAAATCATTCAGTACACAGATATAATTAATTAACATAATATTATTAATACTTATAATATATTATTACAATAAATAACCTTAGTAGGGATATCAGCATGGGAAATACTCTGCTGAAGATGAGACATGAGCATGAGATCTCTACCCTCACTCCATCTGTTATGAAGAGCGTGGTGGTAGATGTGACACAGCATGGCACGTGTCCTGATCCTGTCTGTTGAGTCGTACCGGTAGATGTACTTACAGAGGGCATCCATCTTAGCTCTACTGGAATCTGGACCTTCGTCCTTTCCGCCGTCATAGTCCACCTGTAATAGACAAACCATTAAATTAGTTCATTAATCTCAACACTCAAACATTGCCTGATTTTGGTCCCTCTTAGTCAATACGTGGAGTCTCTGGATGGTCGGTAGTAGTACTAGCTATAAATGGTCCCACTAATTTATGAGGGTTAAATAGGGTGAAAGGAAAATATCCCGGTAAATCAGTGATTTTGATTTATATACTAAATACACGTCATGTAAAGATAAATACCTAATGGAGAAACACCCGGCATATTTTACAGCTTTACAGCTCCTTGTAGTAATGTATAATTATTAAGTGTATAATGTATATACACAATGTATTATACACAATACCTTGTAGTAAAGGTGCTCGATCTCCCTCAGATAAGTCCTGCACATTTCCTCGTGGGTGGCCTTTCTGTGACTTAGCTCAGCTTTTACTCGCAGAACCAGACCACACAACTTAGCTTCGTCCGATAGCCTGAGATGAGAGATAATAAGAGATAAGAACCTGAGATAAGAGATAATAAGAGATAAGAACCTGAGATAAGAGATCTTTAACTCTTAAAATAGTTACGGTCCGTGATTTTCCGATAACACATTAATTTGTACTCTCCAATCTCCATATTATGATATTGTGTAGTTATATTGTATCCTGTCCTTTCCATTGCCTTTGTTCTGAATAATATTTACGATATCAACGAACAAAGGAAAGGAGGGTAAGAATTGCTTCGTTTAGCGCCTGTGCTATGACTCTACAACTATCAGCAGTCAGCTAAAAAAATTAAACCAACACATTTACCATCGTGTTTACCATGTCGCTTATTGTAATATTAACAGTAATCTTGGTTATATTATGTTCCCGTAATTAGTTAAGAATTGTGGTCTCAGGTGGTTAACTTAACCTTGAGAACACCGACTCCACATAATAATCACAGTAAGATAATTCTAATTATTCTTCATCTGCTCCACCCTTTGTGCAGCGCTCAGACAATCTACGTGGAAAGTACTACAGACCCGCCCTGTCTAGCTCTCAGTTCTAGCTCTCAGTTTTAGCTCTCAGTTTACTGACTTGTCTAGCTCTCAGTTCTAGCTCTCAGTTCTAGCTCTCAGTTTTAGCTCTCAGTTTACTGACTTGTCTAGCTCTCAGTTCTAGCTCTCAGTTCTAGCTCTCAGTTCTAGCTCTCAGTTCTAGCTCTCAGTTCTAGCTCTCAGTTCTAGCTCTCAGTTCTAGCTCTCAGTTCTAGCTCTCAGTTCTAGCTCTCAGTTCTAGATCTCAGTTCTAGCTCTCAGTTCTAGCTCTCAGTTCTAGCTCTCAGTTCTAGCTCTCAGTTCTAGC